CTGGGGTGGTCCTCCTTCTAATCTTGGCTGGTCGGGTCGCCATCCTGCTTTTCTCGAGGATTCTCGCCGAGGGTTCCGAGGTTGCTCAATCCGAGCCCTCCGTCCTCTCCCCCGACCTCTCCCCCGACCTTCCCGCAGCTGCCGCCGTTCTTGTCCGCAACTGGCTCAGACGGGTGCGGAAAACCCCCTCCTCCGCCTCGCTCCCGCCCGAAAAGAAAGTGTCTCTTTCCTTCCTCTTTGGCCTCGCGAGTGAAGCGTCTTTGCTGGAGTCTCCACGCACCATCTCGTCGGCCCGCTGTAGCATTACGACGCCCACCTTGTCGCATACCGCTGCCTACCTGACCGAAAAGAATCGATATGACTTAATAGTTGGGAAATAATTTGGTCAGTCTTTTGCAACTTTACATTTAAAATATTTAAATGATTCGTTTCATCAGTAATTAAAGCAAGTTCCCACAACGAGTCTAAATCTTCAAAAAAAAATTTGAATTCATTATATTTTACAGGTAATTGTTCTTGCAAGAAAAGGAAGATCTCTTTTCTTGTTGCAAAGAATTTTTCTAAACATTTTCCTGCACTGAGCCATCAAACTTTGCAATGCAAAGGTACATCTGTATAAACAGCGTTATGTTCCTCGAGAAAGTGTTGAAACTTTTGATGAGAAAGGAATTTTTTACCGCCTTTAATTACATTCGTAATTTTTGTCACGGTTTGCATTGCAGTGCATAGTTTCACATCTTTCCCACATAACGCTTCTTGATGAATTATGCAATGAATAACAGGGAATTTTAAATTTCGTTGCTTTAACTGGCCGAAGAATCCAATTTTCGAATCTATCATTTCTTTTGCGCTATCAGTAACGATAGCTGAACATTTAGAAAAATCGATGCCAAATTTTTGTAGGGTTTGATTAACAGCCTTGAAATTATCAATACCCGTTGTTCTGTTATGTAGTGGGGCAAAATCTAAGAGCGCCTCGACATGTGAAAAATCGTTTTGCACGATTTGAGCAAAAATACTCAATTGACTCACATGCCGATTATCGGTGCTCTCATCGAGACATAACGAGAAGAAAGAACAAGATTTTAATAAAGCTTTTAATTTTTGTTCTAACGAAGAAGCAATATTGTCTATTCGAGATTTTATCGTTTTGTCAGTTAAAGGAATGCTAGTAGCTTTTTCAAGAGTCAAAGAATTTCCAAATGACTTCACTGCTGCGATGAGGCATTCCTTTATAAAATTTCCTTCACAAAATGACTTAGAATTTTTTGCGATGAGATTAGAAATAGCATACAATGCTGCAAGAGCTTGTACCAAAGACGTAGCGTTATCGGTATTTAAACTACGATTTTCATGATAAATTAATTTTAATCCTTCTATTAAATTAGATTTCTTCTTGTCACATATTTTGAATACTCATTAGAATGTTTATTTTTATAATGTCTATAAACAACAAACTTTTTAACAGTATCGGGTTGATAACCACACAGAAGACAGGTGGTTTTATTATCAATAGAAGCAAAAAAAACTTTCCATACCTTATCAAAAAGTTGACAGTATCCCTGCTCGCCATCTATTGCTTAGAATCAGTATCACTAACACTATCACAATCACTATCACAATCACTATCACAATCACAATCACTATCACGGTCACTATCACAATCACTATCACTATTATGCAAATACTACTGATGGAACTCCAAATCTAGTTCCCTGATTGACCCATAGGGACGCTAAAGACACCTCGAAGGGATACGCGGTTCTCTCTCTACTTTTTACGTATGCGTGTGTGCGTGGCACGATCTCGTTATATATGTAGAGACCATCCCGCAAGGATGGCTGAACCGCACAGCCATTTGGGCTTAGCAAACCCACGTACCTTAGCTCACACACTGCGGTCATACACATACAAACACACTTAGACATTACACATAATAATCAATATCATATAAATTATCAGTGATCAGTGAACCATATAAACCATATAAATTAGGATATCTCAAAACAAAAGATTGCATCATCATATTACGTCTTACTGTTCTAAAATACCGCTTTTTCTATCGCGTAAGCGCATATCATCTCCTTCCACCAAACCAGATAGTCGCAAGAGGAGAGACCCCTCGGAGCCACGCCATATTAAACTAAACTAAACGTAGAGACTTATTCTTATTATTCATACCATACCGCAGTTAACGTTGTTAATAACACACGTGGTTTATTTTTTGTATTTTGCGGTCTTACAAATATATATATTATTCTATTCAGAACCCAGTGTATTCTCTAGTTCCAGTGACACGATAACCTATTTTTCTTTAACAACCACTTATCGTTTTTTTCTAATATGAATCTATAAAACGCTCACATGAGACTTTTAACTCGTGTCACTGATTATCATTGAGAAATAACCGAGGAGACAATAATAAAACAATTGCATATCAATGCTACCGCAGTAGGAGTACGCGCCTAAAGTTAAGTCGCGGAATTGTAAAATCCATATTAAATTAAAAGATCCATATTACAAGACAGAAAATGCTATTTGCATAATAATGATAGTCATTATGATATTGATAATGATAGTAATTGCTGGATTTACTTGAAAAATTGATAACGAGTAAATATTCGTGTAACTCTTTGATAAGATATAAAAAAAATTTTTTTGCTTCTATTTGTAATAAAACCACTTGTTTTCTATGAAGTATTATCAATTCTCTCTTGTTCAAAAATATATTCTTTATAGATATAAAAATAAACATTGTAATGATAATTCAAAATATGTGGACGAGAAAAAATCTAATTTAATTGAAAAATTAAAATTAATTATCAAGAAAGTCGAGTTCGAATATCGATAATATTACATTTTTGGTAAAAGCTCTTATAGCATCATGTGCTATTTCTAATCTTATCGCAAAAAATTCAAAGTTATTTTGTGAAGGAAAAATTTATAAAAAAAGCTTTATCGCAGCAGTGAAGTCATTTCGAAATTCTTTAACTCTAGAAGAAGAATCAAGATGCAATTAAAATAGTTCTATTTCTGTGGATGTAGTCGTCCAATTTTTTTATTTGTTCCTCTTTTGTTCTCTTATATAAAATATCCTCCAAGTCATATATAAAATTTCCTGCCAAGCCATCTCTACATACTTAGATATTACATTATCTTTATTATTTTTTAGTAAAATAGGCCTACTGGGAAAACCACTTTAAAAAAACGCATCCACAATAGTATCTCACGGGTGATGTAGAAAGCTATTGATTTCTGGCTATAAAATTACAAAATTTTTTTTAAATTGTAATTTTTTAATTATTATATTATTGCGAAAGTATATTATAATGTATGTATAAGTATAATATATGTAACATATATATATATATATGGGGCATTCTTTCTCAACTTTACACCCATGTTGCCCATTTTCTATTTGATCTAAAAATTTTTGAAAAAATCTTAAAATTTACAGAAAAATGTAAGCTTTCCAATGGCGCGTGGCAAAATTATCAAATTCAATTAGATTATACTTAAAATTTCAAAAAACCGAAAAAAAAATAATAAAAACGGTAATTATTCAAGTGTAGCGATTATTTATTCGACGTTTTTCTCTTCCAATTAACACTTTCGAGTACTCTGTTTATCTGTGCACTGTCACATAAGTCTAAACTAAAATGGCGGATCCAATATAGCCGCCAAAAATTTAAAAAATTTAAGAAATTAACTGATTTTTATAAAACTTGGTATCAAGGGGTTTTTCGGGTTACTGTATACGAGTCTAAAGTTATTTTTCAAAAATACAAAATAGCGGATCCAATATGACCACCAAAACATTTTGAAAATTTTTAGAAACTAACGAATTTTTATAATACTTGGTATTAGGGACTTTTTCGGATTGCTAATAACGAATGTGAAGTCGCATTTCGAAAATTCAAAATAGCGGATCTAATATTACAACTAAGAATTTGAAAAATTTTTAAAAGTAAGGGAGTTTTATAAAATTTGAACAGAGAGTTTTACGGCCAGCTAAATACAAATCTTAAGTCGGATTTCGAAAACTGAAAATGTCAGATCTAATATAAAGACCAAAAATATTAAAAATTTAGGAAATTGACAGATTTTTATAAAACTTGATACTAGAGATACCTCTGGTTCTGATGTCGCCTGAGCTCTTCCCCCTACTTTTTGAAATCTTGATATGAAAAAGTCGAACTATTACCAGCATTGGAATATCTCTTAATCACCATTTCTTTGTTGATTGGGACGAAACAGTGATTTCTCAGAATCTCTGGAACTGGTGGAGCTACATCAAATCGTTTTTTCAAAAATCTTTTTGTCTTTTGGTGCTTTTTGTCATTATATGACAGTATACTAATGTGGCATTCTTTCTCAGCTTTACACCCATGCTGTTTCGTCCCAATCAACAAAGAAATGGTGATTAAGAGATATTCCAATGCTGGTAGCTTGATATTCTATTTCTTTATTAAGATCGTTACTCTCTAAATTTCTTGGAGTGAAAACGCACTCGAAAAATTCAGTGACTGATCGTGTCACTCGAGTTAGAGTGACTTTTCATTCATACGGAGTTAATTCTCTCTCTTTTTGTTGTAGAGTGAATTTTTCACTCTGCAAAGTAGAGTGATTATGTGTACTTTATTTTGTAGAGTGAATATTTTTACTCCATGCAGTATGGAGTGAATATTTCATTCACATGAAGAGTGAATGATCACTGCGTCTCGTTATCTCTTGTTCTCGTCTCATCGTTACACGTATTTGGTGCAAAATATCGTGGATATAAATATAAAAAATAGTGGATATAAATAAGAATATCTATAAGGAATACACGTAGATAGACATATAAAAATGTCAACGTTTCTTCCAGAGGTAAGTACTTATAAGAATTTATGTGTAGTTTATTTACTGATTTAAGGGGTTACCTGCACTTAGAAGGCCAAAAAAAAGCCCTTTTTTGGGAATTTTTTTTGAAGTATTGTATAAGTATTTATAAAAATAAGTTTCAGCATATGACAGACGTATATTCTAAGAGTATTACAAAAAATTTTTATGCAAAAATATTGATTTTTAAGCGTGTGATGGCGGTTTTCCCAGAGGTCCTGAAAAAAAAGGTGTCTTGCGGTGATCACTGTAGCTTTTGACTGGTTCATCTAAAATAAAAAATCCCGATTGCATTAGTTAATATAAGAGTATAGCGGGTCCCTGATCGAAGGTTTTAGCGAAATTTTAGTTTTTAACAAAATGGCGGACTTACAAAAAAAAAATTTAAATTTTCGGTAAAAAATCGCACGTTTTTTGGTTATAAAAAAAAAAGTTTTTTGAAAAAAAAAAAATCCTACGATCAGGGACCCATAAATTGTATCTGAAATAAGCACAAAAAATTTCAGACCGATCGGTTAAGCCGTTTTTGAATTACAGTGATCACCGACTTTGAAATTGTAGTTTTGAGAAAAACGCATTTAAAGTTTTTTTACGAAATATTTTATAATAAAAATTTTTTTGGGGAACTTACACATAATCATCTATTCCAGGACCATATAATGAACCTTCTGCTTCCTCGGCAGCTTCTAAAATGTTTATTTGGTGCTGTCGTCGACGCATTCGTCCCTCCCGCGTGTTCTCTTCAGCGCGCTTGTTGGAAAGCTTTATACGCGTCGCATCCTCTTTCTCTGCATAATGATGGGCAGAAAGGCCACAACTTATTCCAATAGCATTCATTATAGCTAGAAGACCTTGGAAACCTTCATTAAAAGTGTATATAGCAATATGAGCACCCATTTCTACTATTGTAAAACTGCAGGGTGATATTTTTGGAGCTATCTTCCACACAATCTGATTGAAGCTTTCATTGTTGTTTTGGGTAAATCCACCGAGGCATCTTTCGAGCAGCTCATCCTTACTGAGATCTTCGTAAATTGGCTTAATAGCCTTCAAAACATCCGCAGGTAACGGCTCATAATCTTGCACATAGTTCTTTAAATTATTGTTGGCCTCGGCGCGTTTATATTCACACCATGACTCTGGCCCCGGCGGACACTTGCTGTGATTTGGTTTTGCTTCCGTCGAACTGTAATGATAGAATGTTGCCCAAATAGCATTTTTCATATCGTTGACAGAATTGCAGTGCCTTCGTATTGATAACCCATAATAAACAGTTAATTTATCGATGACTTTGCCAGTGAGTTTTCCTTTGCCGCTAAGCCCTTTGTTTTTCTTTTTTGCTTCACGTAGTCGAGTACCCATCCTTTTTTGCACGTGTCCTATACACTCTTTTTTGTTGATAGTTATACCTTCATAAGGATTTCCATCTACAAGACCTTTGTAAGTTTTGGAATCACCATCGCCGATATAATTAATGAATTTTACAGCGTACTGTTTAATCGAACGTTTAAAAATGTCCAAAATGCCATCGACTTCCATTTTTCCGGATGATCCTTCATGATTAGAACTACATGATTCCTTATGTGTTTCAAACCATTCTTCAAATTCTTGGGTGTCTGTTTTTGATTTCCAAAATTCACATGATTTACAGTAACGACTTTTAACAATAATGTCAATTACTTTACCACTGTAATAGCCGATAACTGAAAACACGCCATATAAAGACGAGTACCCGCGTTTTTGCCAAGTCCCATCTCCAGACACAGTTAATTCATTTGTTTCTTGTACTAATTTTTTAGCTTTACACGTTTCTTCGACTTCTTCTTTCACAGCTTTTTTCATAAAAAATTCGGCAACATTTTTAGAAGCTTCATGTATTTGTTTCGCTATAATATCATAAGTTCTAAAATCTAAGAAGTTTGGCAAATCCATCAGAGCACAAAACTTTCCTGCACCTTTCAAGCCGATACCCAATACTCTCATAACAAATATAAATCTTTTATTAATTTCGTATGAATGCCCTATAAAAGGGCTTGAAGGAATATACTCAGTAGGACAATTATCACACAACAAAGCTATTTTAAAACCAAGGCCTCGCGAACTAGCAGTTTGAAACTTTACATTCCCGTTACATTTTGCACATTTCACTAAATTAGCTATGGCAGCAAAAACAGTAAAAAAGTTTAAAATTCTATATTCTATAGAATTATCTACTGGCACAGAAATATCATTCTGCTGTTTCAATTTTTTTGCTGATGTACTAACACCCGCGTCGTCGTGTTCCGCTGTTTTCGGATTAAACATGCACTTTCGCTTTTTCGTTCTTGATTTAATAATATTAGTCCTAGTTCTTGCCTCTCTTGAAACTTTTGCATTTGATCGCGGCATTTTATATAATTTAAATTTAAAAAAATAAACCAATTTTAAGCAAAAATTTTTTTTAATAAATAGATCGATCTACTTAGCTCCGCGTCTGTTACTAAACAGTACACTAAAACAGTGATGGGAATTTGTTGCAACTTTCGGTTGGATTTTCTGGTTGACACCTACTGTCCCTCTTTGCCCCTCGCATGCTAGCAACGAAGTCTCCAAACGCGCTAACAACGCGCGTAACTAACGCGCGATATTCAGCTAGAAAATCGAGCCGAAAGTTGCAACTAATTCCCATCACTGCACTAAAACAATCGCTACTGCTCCGTCAATTATGATCGGATTAGCTTGAAAATTTATGACAACACTTTTGGGATGTTGTACTTTAAGAAAATGTCAAAATCTCAAAATCGATTTTTTCAAAATTACTGACTGCAGGTAACCCCTTAATATATTATGTAAAGAATGGTGTTTAGGTTAAATTGTTTTTCAAGGTTAGGTTAGGTTAGGTTAGGTTACAGAAAGAGTACCGTAACCCCAATTTCATTGGGGCCGGGGGCCGGTGCTTGCATGGAGCTTGCACGGGCCGCGAGGGTGGTTCAACCTCTATAAAAAGACCCGGGCAGGACGGGCTCGTTAGCCTTGGTAGACAACCGTCCTAGTGGAAGGAAAACCACGATAAAAAACCCGGAGAAGACAACTCTGTCAACAAATAACAATTATGGTGAAACTTATAACGACAGAGAGGAACACGTTACCGCCTCAGGGGATTCGGACCCCCAGAGGCCGGCGAGGGGGGTATCCGGTCCCGGTGCCCCCCCTGTCGTCATCTAGCGACGGGCCATCCAGGGCGTGCCACGCGGGCGCCCTGGACAAAAGGGTTACCGCGGATGGTGACCTGTGGGCAAAGGCCCATAGGATTCTTAGAATCCTCCTTGTCCTCCTAGAGGAGATTCGTGGGGGACGCGGGCGTGGTGAGCCCGTGAGAGAGGGTAAACGCCCTGGTGGGGGAAGGGACTCCGAATCCCTTCCCGCCAAAAAGGCGGACCGGACTGTACCCGGCGTAAAAAGCGTCGGTACACAGACCTGGGGAAGGGTGGGGCCACAAAAGCCTGCCCGCACCGAGGTAGACGGGGGGTTGGGTGTTCCCACCCTCCCCCCTCGCTGTTTCAAGTGTCTGCAACGCGGGCATGAGAGGTGGCGGTGCCCCTCGCGGGTGGACCGCAGCAAAAGCTGCCTCCACTGCGGGGACGCTGACCACCTGGCCGGGGCATGCTCGCGTAGGAGGGCGAGCTGCCCTGTGTGCAAGGAGGCGGGCAGAGCCTCGACCCACCGCATTGGTGGCAGAGTCTGCCCGATCGTCCCTCCTAAAGGGGACGTAGGAAGAGGAAGAGGAGGGAAAAGGAGGGTAACACCCCCCAATTACCTTCTCAGGAGAAGGTAGGTGGACCACCCGGCCTTCCACCCCCGAATTACTGGAAGTGGGAGGAGGTGGTGGAATCCTCGGGAAGGGAGGAGTGAGCGGGAAGGGAGAAGTCTCCCTCATTCCCGTTATCACACTCTCTCCCGACCCTGAGGCAATGGAGGTGGAGATGGAGGAGAAGGAGGGGAGTTCTTCCTCCCAAAATCCTTCGCCTATGGAGGAGGATGAGAAGGCGAGGCCTCTTGCTAAAAAGGCAAGGGTGTCCTCGCCTCCCCCTTCCATAAAAAATGGAGGGGAAGGAAAGATGGAAGAAGGAGGGGGAGGGGAACCCCTCCCTACCCTGAGGAAGGAGGAAACTAAGAGGGATGTAATAAACACCCCTCTTATTAAGAGGACACCTCTGGGGAACGGGGAAAACCCAAACTCCACCCCCTCTGAGGTTGTCTTCCAATGGAAGATGTGCGGCCCTAAAATTCGTAATGCGGATTATGAGGACTTCCACATAAGACCGCACTACCTAAGCGTGAAGAACGAGATTGAGTGCTGGTGGACTGACTATGAGTATGACCACCCAGGCATGGATCTCGGCCTCCTGGACAATTGGTACAGGAAGGAGGGGAAGAGAATTCCCTGGCTGAAGTGCCGGTGCTGGCCTGGTGATGGCCAATATCGCCGGACCAGTACCGAGCTAGTGAGGAAGATAGTTCGGATCTTAAATGAGGGGAACTACGCCCAGTGGGGGCTAAGGGCGGAAATCAGACCTCTCCCTCTCTCGACAGTAACAGCATTGTCAGAGGGGATAGTGGAGGTAGATACTGAAGAGGAGACTAGTAGTGATGAGGAGGAGGAGGCTCCACAAAGCCTTTTTTCTCTTCCCCTCACTATAGAAAGGATGGAGAGTGAGGAGGGGAAGGCCCCTAGGGGCCTTCCTCTTCCCCTCACAAGGAGTGGGAAGGAGGATGAGGAGGGGGAGGGGAGGGCTATTAAAAGCCCTCCTCTTCTCCCCATAAAGAAAAATAAGAGTAAGGCGGATGGGGGTTTCCCCCCCTCTGCCCCATTACCTTCCCCGCTTTCGGAGCAGGGGAGCATAAAGCCCCCACAATGCCCGAAGGGGGGGGATGGAAGAAGTAAAGGAGAGGACACTCACCAAGGTGAAGTTCTCTTCGTCCCCTATCCCCACCAAGGGAGGGGAGAAGGTGAGAGGAGAGGGCAGGAATATACCCCCCCCTACCTCAAAAGAAGGGACGAAGAGGGGAAAGGTTAGCGACACCTCTCCCTCTGGAAGGGCGACTCCGTCGGGGGATGAGATACGTCTCTCCCCCCGTCGGAGGTTGTCCTCCGTTGGAGGACGAACGGTCCCACCATTCCATGGGAGGAACGTTCCCTCGGGGAGCTGGAACAGTGGATGAAGTGTGTTCCACCCCTTGGGAAGACGATGGCTGGTCACGTCGAGAAGAGGTGGAATGCCCTTCAGAGACGTGACCTTGGCCAAATAAAGATCGGGAGAATGGGAGATAATCCCAAGAAAAGCCAATCTTGGTTGGTGGTGCAGTACCGGGACGTGATTGGTCGCAGTCACGTCTCCGGTACAAAACAACTCAGGAGGGTGGCGGCAGACATCGCTCGGGACTTCCCATATTGGGAGGTCACGTCCGAAATCCGACAATTGGCCGGAGGAAGGACGGACCCGGCGATGTCTGTTAAAGCCGCCAAACCTCCCCCACCATTGGGGGAGATGAATAAATTTCTCCTGGCCGGCCTGGGGGAGGATGTGGACTTAGATGGATTTAATCCATCCCACTCCTCCCCCCAAGGGGCCGTGTCGGGGAAGAAAAAGGGAGGGAAAAAGGGGGGGCAGAACTAAGAGGGGATTTTCTCTCCTCTCTGCCCCTTCCCTTCCTGAGCAAGTAATGTCAAAAACAGGGGGGGTTGGCGCCTTGACGGGGGTCAAGGTGCCAATCCCCACCCCCCCAACAACATCGGGAGGGGTGTAGGGAGGCAGAGGTGACCCTGCTTCCTTACAAAAGCAAGGAAATAAAGCCCGTTAATCGGGCAGCCCGGATGGTATCTTCCGGGCGGGAAAGTGCTGCAATAAAGCGGCAGGCCGGGGGAGTCTTCAGGACGTAATGCTCATGGCGGTTCCCTGGACTCCCCCACCTAGGCCAGTGAGGGTCACCGGTGGAGTTTTAGTGGGTATGCCTGGGAAAAACCTCTTTCCCAGGAGACTCCCACATAACCCGTGGTCTTCCCCCGAGGACCACGGGTATCCATAGAAGATTTCTCCAACCTAAAAAAAAAAAAAAAAAAAAAAGGTTAACAGAAAGAGTAAATCGAGATCTCACAGCATGTGGTCCGCCGTGCTACGTAGCTTCGTCATAAATTTGGTTTGCATATCGATAAACAAGTAGTACAATGAGAAGTAACTTATATAATGACTTGTAGTTTATTAAATCGGCAAGTGCGTACCATGTGCTGCAAAATCTCGGTTATAGTTAAATCTGTCGAAATAATATTAAATTTTTTTCTTTCGTTAGGAGACATTAAACAGTACTGAAACCTTAAATAAATTTTTATTAAGCAGTGGAATTTTGGAAGACGCCGTCAATATTTTGAAAGGTAAGATTTGCAATAAAATTAAAATTATAGTTTGGTAATGTTATAGCAGTAATATAATTGTGTATATTAATAAACATTAATAATAAATTATATTACTGCTATAACATTACCAAACTATAATTTTAATTTTTGGAAGGTTCTCGAAATTACGAGAACCTTCCAAAAAGTTTATCTTATGGAGAGAGTAATCGAGAAAATCACTCTCTAACGTCGAGTCGAAACAACAGGTCGCATAAAGAAATTAATTAGAGAGACAGTCGGTGATTTTTGGTCGTGTATTAAGACTTAGAATTTATCAAGTCAAGCATTGTAATATTTTTTGTATTTAACTTGAATTAAAAGATATCGTGTTCAGTTAAAAGCAGTGTCGAATCTATTTGATTAATACAGTTGTTCCTGACATTCAGTAACTTTTGTCGAAGCAATCTTATATACAATAAATAAGGTCGGATATAAGACGTAACCGTCCTATCGTTTAAAAATTTAGTCGGTTGCAGATCTTTAAGATTTTATTCTTTATTTAAAAAAAAACTATAGATTTGTGTCGATAAAGAAACTAACCGAAAGTTAATAAGAGAACTTACAGCTCAGAAGTGGGATTACGGGCTCATTAAACCCGTGTCGAGTCGAAAAGTAAAAAACGAACATTGCCGCGTCGTGTCGGAACGGAGTACGGGCTCATTAAACCCGTATCCAGTCAAAAAGTAAAACGAACATTGTTGTGTCGTGTCGGAACAATTTACGGGCTACAGAAACCCGCGTCGAGTCGAAAAAAACGGCAAAATTCGTCGTTGCGTCGTGTCGGGCCGATTAACGAATTTGGCAAATCCGTGTTGAGTCGAAGAGGCTGGAAATTCCTCATTGGAGTCGAGCCGGGCAGTAGAATGCCGAAAACGAGGTCCATGATGGACAGAGAAGACCTAGAAAAGGCTTCGTTAAAGCAGCTTCAGAAAGAGGCACGGAGATACCAATTACCGGTCTTGAACGACCGAGACTTAATGATTGAACAAATTTTGACTCACCTGGAGAGAGCTAGTCATACCGAAAGGACGTTGGAGGTGCTACGGGAGACGGGTGAGATGCACGATCCTGCAGAGTCGTCCTTGAGTCGAGCCACCGAAGCAGACCCATCGAATTCAGGAGCGCTCTGTCACGCCATCACCGAGATGACGGCGATGATGCAACAACAACAGCAGATCTTGCTCCAGGTCTTACACAGGTTGGCTCCCCAGGAAGCAAGCGTGCTGATAAGCCGGGACGAAGGGACAGCAGGTCCAAGCGGTCTGGTAACCCTATCAAGGGCAACATCCGGTAATGTACAATCGAACCAAACTATTTACTCGAATAACTAGTGATGGGCGTTTAATCGATTACTGATCGATTATGTCGATTATCTAGGGGAGCATAATCGACAATAATCGAATATTGCAGAAGCAAAATTTAATCGAAATAATCGACTATTTAAACACTTAATCGATTATTGTTTTATTTTTTAATCCTATTTTAATTAACCAAGATTAACACTGTGTACAAAAGTCTTAAAATCGTAAGCAAATTAACCAATTATAGGCTGGTATTCATAGTCAGATCTTATATTTTATATTTAGATCGTTTTAAGATCTCATCTCACTCAGCCAATGAAATAACCATATAGCGCTATTTTATTGGTTGAACGAGATTTTAAGACGATGTTGAATGTAAGATCTGATTATGAATACTGGAAGTCGAATACCGGAAGATCATTCTCATAATGTTATAAGAATAACTAAGTCTTGTTTATGGCCTTAAGAATGATGACGTGATACACGACGCGTGATTGTCCAATAAGCGTACTGCTTTCCGCAGCTCACTGAGCAAAGCAGTACGTTTATTGAACAGTCGCGCGTCGCGTATCGCGTTTTGTCTGGTGTGCCCGATCTATATATGTATGTATACGTATCACATTGAAGTGCGTTCTACATATGCACGCATTTATCTATAGTACACGTTACGTATATTATAGATTATGCGTATGTTATATGTAGTTTACGGAACGTTTGTGTTTTCTATTTGGTGGCACAAGTATCAGTTAACCAAACTTAACCTAACTAATCAATTTGACCGGTCATCTGTGTTTTTACATAAAAATGTTGAAAAATTGGCTAAAATCTACAGAAAATAGACGACAAAAATTAGAAAATGAAGATGATGTGGACGGTAACTTTTATAAAATTAATATAAATAACACACAAAAAGACAGTTTTTATTACGTTACAGTTATAGTACTAATTAATTATTTTTTCTTTTTTTTATTTACTGCAAAAATAACATTGCAATTACATCAGAGATATCTTCAGAATCTGGTGAAATAGAAATTAATAGCCATTGTAGCGAATCAACTATATATAGTAGTAGTAGAGCATCTTCTTTTTCTCGGGCAAAACGGTAAGATATATTTTTTAATCCTGTAGATCATTATATAAATTAAATTTTCTGCACGCACATACACACTGTTATCTATTGTGATTTACAGTTTTAAAGCATCCTTATGTTTGGAAGTACTTCTGATAATGATAATCAAGAATTAGACAATTCTAAGGAGAACTCTGAATGTAATACTAGGTTTGTAATTATTATAATATAGATTTAATTTTTATATTTATATTTTATGTTATATTTAGAATGCTCTTATTAATATTGGTTAGTAATAGTTATACATAAATATTTTTTGTTTTATAAATAATGATAAATTTTATGAAAATTATAGCAAGCAAAAAAGAAAAGACAAAAAAACTAATGGGTATGTAAAAATTAGGAAACAATAAATTAGTTTTGTTTAAATAGCAAATATATAAGTTCATTAATTATATTTACATTTTATTTTCAAGAACATTTCGTACAAAGTCTGATGCATGACATTTCTTTACTAAACTTGACGAGAAAAGGGCTCAATGCAATATTTGTAAAAAGATATTTAAAAATTGCGGAAATACTACAAACTTTTTAACCCACATTAAAAAGCAACATAACATTGAGTTTGAACAATATTTAAATTCATCAGATTCTGATGAATTGTGTTCTCAAGAGAAAGTAAGAACATCCAAAAATTTAACAGGTTAGTAAAAAATAAATATAATTATAGATGTATCAGGCTCTGATAATTGTTAAAATCAATAAATTTGATAGGAGCGTAAAGAGCCAACAGCCAGATTCGTGCGAAGGTTATCGTGTATTAATTTATAACCATTGAACAATACATTAAAAAACAAACGTTTCAGCCTGTCATCAGGCCTTTATCAATGTTATTACAAAATTCAATAAATACGCAACGCAAAAATTAAATACAAAAACCGAAGTAAAAATGACATAATAAACTGAAGAGTAGTTAAAACCACGTTAAACTGTAATAAAAAAGAGCCAAATGAGAAAATTCCCGTTACAAAATGAGCGCAAACCAAATAAACAGAAAAAAGAAACAATTTTTACATACTTGTGTTAAACATAGTAGAAAGCTCGTCCACCCAAGATGGAACGAGGTAGGACAAAAAACTTAGAACCATATAATGTGATGGTTGAAACCTCAATGTACGTGATAGAATAACGATAAATTCAAGCGATGAAAGATTAGTGAGAGGACGGTGGAGAAGGGGGACGGAAAGAAAAAGGAGTATGGAGGGTATAAGTACCTAGGAGGGGAAGACAGGAATTAATATATGAAAAGAAAAACGATACAATTATAAAGGGGGAAACAAATTAATAATGGGGAGATAGGAGTCAGGTAACCGTTCTGTGTCATTTTGATTGTTCAAGCCTGCACGTTGTCTTTTTATGAACACCATTTCGGATATCAATCTCTTTCCATAAGAAGGTTCTCCGTCCAGAATTCTCACATTGTCCCAGTCAAAATCGTGAGAAAAATCCAATTTATGTTTGGATATAACAGAGGGGGAACAGCTCTTTTTAATATCATTCTTGTGTTCTTTGATTCTAGTATTAAGCTGTCTTTTAGTCTGACCCACGTAAGTTTTCTCACAATCTCGACATGATATCATGTAAACAACATGACAATGTGAAAACTTATTTAAACTGTCTTTTCCTGTCCGTATGAATTGTGTTATAATAGATTGTTAGGAATAGAACATGATAATTTTAAATTGAAGCTTCTGGCTATGGAGTTAAAATCTTTATAAACCGAAGGAATGTAAGGAATGGTAAAAAAAGTCTTAAAGTCATTATTGTCATAAATATTGTTTGAACAATTACTAATTAAATTAAAGTCACTAGATTTTTTATGAATTAAAAACTTAAGCCTATTATGTATAGTCGAAAAAATAAAATTGATAGGAAAACAGTTATTAAGTAGGATATTGATTGCAATAGTAAAATTCTTGTTATGAAATTCAGGATGAGAAGTAAAAAAATTCTGTCCGTTAAACTTATAATGGTCCCTTTTTTGTGCGATATCGGATGGTGGGAATGATAATTTAATAATCTACCCGAAGAAGAAGGTTTCCGGAACCAGTCAAATGTGATAGTGTTATTTTTCACAATCAGAGTTAAATCGAGGAAATTAATACGATTGTCCAAACCAACTTCCACAGTAAACTTTAGTCTCTCATGGTAGGAATTAAAAACGTCACTAATAAAATTTATAGAATTGTTAGGTGCAGCTAAAATGATATCGTCCACATAACGGTAATAAAAAGGTAACCTAAAAGGTAGTCTATCTAACGCACTGATTTCAAGGTCCTGTAGTACTAAGTCAGCAATCAATGGGGATAAAGGAGAGCCCATGGGGGTGCCATAAGTTTGTTTGTAAATTTTGTTGTTAAAATTAAAAAAAGTGGAGCTCAGTATCAAGCGGATGCCCTTCAGAAATTCATTAAGAGGGATGGAAGTATTTGGGGAAATTAAAACCCATCTGTTAGAAATGCTGTCATTAGCTAATTCTATGGGGATGTTCGTGAACATGGATACAACATCTAGGGAAATAATTTGAAAATCGTTCCCAATAACAAATCCCTTTAATTTGTCAACAAAATCGAAACTATTTTCAATGTGGCTATCAGGAAGGGGTAAACTATTTTGAATAATTTTATGAAAATAAACCGAAAAGAGCGTATAAAGGGCTATTGATGGAGGAAACAAATTTAGTGAGAACAAGATTTATAGATTTTAATGACAAGCCATAGGCTCTAGGAAGGACGCCGTCACTTGTC